GTTTTGGTATAACTATTTATGTTTTAACGAATATACAAATTAATTCAATGAAATCACTATCGCTATAAATATAGTGTTTCCCGTTTAATAATTCAAAGCAATTTATCATGTCTCTTAAATTCATAAATTCAAACAGTACATTCTCCGTACCGTTTATCCTAGAAAAGTTGACATCGCAATTATAAGTTAAATCAAATAGAATATCGTAGATGGAAATTTGATGGGGTACATTTAGTACTTTGAAGGCGAACATAATTGATGAAAATAATTTTGAAATGACTTACCCTTTTTTTTATCCATCTTATATAGAATTGTTTGTACCATTTTATAATTTTTTTTATTAACCATATTTACAAAGGGAAAAAAATTTTATTTTTAAAAAAAAATTTCTATGAGGCGAGTTTCTTTTGCCAAAACTGGAGCACCATGTAGAGTAACATGAATATGTGCACAAAGGTAAAAAGGTGTTTATTTATATTTAACTTTATTAATACTATTAATACTAATTTTTTCCATTTCACACTTCTATTATATACATTTTTTATAAGTCCAAATTAGAATATAAACGAAATACAAAAAAGTAAAATAATATTAAAAAAGTAAGGTTACGCCGTTTATAAAATAAAATTAGATTATAACAAATAACAAAAATTAGATTATATAAATAATAAAAATTAGATTATAAAAAATTCAAAAACAAAAAGTATATAACGCAACAACGTATTAGCATAATATCTTCCAAGAGTTGTTCACTCATCCTCGATCTATGTGGTGAAAGAATGAATTTCAAATGTGAAAAAGATCTTTCAACGCTAACCTATGTTAAATGTATTTATATGTGAAAATATGATAAATTAACTTGGGTTGCAGGAACAGCAAATAAGATTTTAGATAAAATATATAATTCAGGGGGTTCCAGCTTAGCAGACTCCCAAAAATGCAAAATATTTTCCTTCTTATCTAATCTTTTATAATCGCTAAATCCAGTAATTATTGTTCCAATACTTTTCTCAGCAATCGTTGGCCCTCTTTTAAGTATTTTCTCCTGCCTTTCTTTAAGTTGTATCAATTTCTCTAAATCATCTTCTTGTTCAATAACTTCATCGGAACTTATATCATCAGATAAAATCGGCGTTGTTAAGCTTTTAATTCGTCTCCATAAATTGACAAGATGCCTCGCACAAATCTTATCATCATCACTAAGTAATACCTGTAATATTTAAGGATTTATATTGTTTATATTTAAATATTCCATAAAATAACAATTTTAATATAAATCTAAAATAATTAATTTACTAAGCTTTTAATTAACCTTGTATCCTTGGGTCCAGGTATATGGCATCTAAGAGAATTTCGTTCTTTATAAACCTTTCTTCTCTGTTCTTAAGACAAGAATATAGTAATTGAGCAAAATGGTTTGGATTTTTTTCCAGTTCGATGCAGCATCTTAACCATGCTGCATAAAAATCTGTCAGTGTTAACTGTTCAGATTGGAATTGTTTGGTTGCGATTTTTAGCGGTTTTAAAATTTCAACAATCGTTATTATCTCTTTCCAATCTTCAGTCAATAAATAATCAGATTGCTCTGAAAAAAAATCTTCGATATTGGGTTTTAGTAAAATCAGCCTTTCTAACATATCATGGGTTGAATGCCATCTGTGGCAATCTAACACAGGCTTAGGGAGTTTCATATTTTTTAATAACTTTTGGTAAGTGGGATGTCTTAATTTTAAATTTAGGCTCCTAGCTTTTGCAATGGTTTCCACAATAGGTGATAATTTTATAGCATCTTGAAGTGCCAGCTGAAGTGTGTGAGCTGCACACCGTACACTATAAAGCGGATAGGATATAATAGTTGATAAAAAAGTATTTTGTATATCATCAATATCATATTTATATACATTTACATCCATATTTTCTTCATCTGCTGATTCACTCCTTATATCATAATCAGTTTCAGGTTGCAGGAGCTTTATAGCTCTTAAAAAATTACAACCATTATCAGAAGTAATTGTGTATATTTGTTCAATATTAATTTTAAATTTTAGTAAAGTTTTTAATATATTCTCTTTTATATATTCTCCTGTACATCTCTCTTTCAGCTCTACAATTCCAAGAGTCCTCAAATTTATAATGGACTTTGATATAAATTGAATATTTACACCAAGAATTGACCTATCTAGTCGTTGAACTGCATCAACTTTTAAACTTATTAATTTTCCTTCTACCTCTCTCGATATTTTGTCTCTAATTGATTGGGCTGTTTTATTAATAGTTCTGGATAAATTTTCTTTGTTTATAACTAAATTGAGCCCAGATAGGAGTGGATTTATGATTCTTTGAAATCCCGAATCTTCAATAATTGATAAAGGCCGGCCATTTACAGTAGCAAGTTCTAGTATAGAACTCATCAAATTATTAGATGATATATTTATACTTATATGCTTTTTTGGAAAAAAGGTTTCTATATTAATTTTAGGTTTTTTTGCCAATAACAATTCCTGATATTTGGTTTTTTCATTTAAATAATTTAAATATTCATTGTTGTGATTTCTTTCCAGGTGTCTTTCTAAATTTGACAAGTGATTACCAGACATTTTTACTTTGCAATATGAACATATTGATTTTTTTTCTATTGTATTAAGGGTAAAATGCTTATCAAATATGACTTTATCTTTAATCTTAAATCTATAAAAAGAGAACAATTTTTTTAAATAGCAATGATTTCAGAATTAAAAAAGAGATATTTATAAATTTAATTTCATTTATAATATGCACTTCATTAATATCTTGTAAAAATTAATCTGAACCAAAAATAAATGATTAGCATATATAAATTTTAAAATCATTTTAATAAGTTCACAAAAACTGCCCTACATTTAACAATTTTTAAGTTAGATGTTTAGAATTTTTAAAATTAACAATATAATAATTTTTACTTTGATTTGTTAACCATTTTCTTCTAATTAATAATCTTTAAGAATAATAAGATAAAAATTTAAAAATAAATGGCGTAAATTAATTCAATTGTTTAAATTTTTTTAACACTCCAATAGGAATCGAGAATAAATTTAAAAATGGCATAAATGAATTAAGTTGTTTAAAATTTATTAACACTTCATTTAATTGGAAATTTGAAAATATAATATTTGTATTTACATATATTAATATATGATTTTAAATAATACACTGAACCCGATTGAACCCGGGTTCAAATAAAATTCTTGGGTTTGGTTCGGGGTTTTGAAAATTTTATAAATGGGGTTCGGTTCGGGTTCAGAGTTTTTTTCTAAAAACCCGGGTTCACTTCTTCGGGTTTGGTTCGAATCCCAGGTTTTGGAGATATCCGACTCTATGAGTGTTATTTAATTAAACTGCACTAGTAGTAAATAATAAATTTAGTGTTAAAATATTATTTGATAAATTTTCTTACCCAGAACAATATTTAAAAACCTCATACAGAAAAATAGTTTCTGATTTTAAGGATATTTTAGACAAACATTACTTATAGTATTCTATATAAATACAAAAAAATATGAAAATGGTGTATTTCATTTTCTTCTTCTAAATGTTTAATAATATTTCTTTATATTTTTAATAATTACTTATCTAAAAAGATCCTATTACATTTTATTCATTTCTATGCCTGGCACCTAGACAAACTTTGAGGGCCGTGACTGCTACTAACGCCCGTGATATTTAGTGAAAAAACTAAACTAAATATCACACCTGCGATATTTAGTAAAAATACTAAATATCACACCCTCGTTTATTAAATATGTGTTTAATTTAATTCTTCCATTTTTTATAATAATATTTATTTACTTGAGAAAAACTACCAATGTAATATTTTATATTAATAATCTAAATATTTTTATGTAACAATGAAGAGGATAAACTAATCCATATTTTCAAATATTTTTATCATTCATAAAATAATTTCAGTTGAATTATATTAAAAATAATAGCCCAGTGTAATTCTGATATTTCAAATAAAACTATGATATAAATTTAGGAAGCTTGGAAGGATTAGGAAATAACTAATATAAAGTAATTATACCAAGAAGACCTACTTATTAACATAAGTTTATAAAATTAAGTTAAGTATGCACAACGCAATCTCTATAGCAAACAATCCAAATTGAAAAACTAAAAAAAATATGAATATGGGTTTATAAATGCAATAAATACATTTTGATTATGCTTATTAATTGTAAAAAATAATTTGAACCCAAGTTTTTTTTAAAAACACCCTAATATTTAATCAAAGAATATTAATTTATGAAATTTTAATTGCCATACATTAATCTCAAAGACTCTAGTTTTTTTAATAAATAAAAATTACAATTTTTTACATTTATCTGGTTTCTAAGATTTTAAGCCTCTACTTCTAAGGCATTAATTTGCATTTTTTGTTCAAATGAGATATTTACATTTAATAAATATGACCAATAGTCAAAACTGATAATTAACCTTCTAAAATTTAATAATATATTATTCTAACTATTTTTCTTTACTTTTCATAAAATAATTTAAAATGATAAATACAAAAAAAAACTTAATCTTTATAGCATGGAGGGGGGTATGTATGAGGCTAATTGTATAAAAATTGTTATTACTTATTTTTTGTATGGATCTTTTATCTTAATATTTGTAAGTAAAGTATATATCTCAAAATAATTTAATTTTGTTTGATTATTCAGCACTTATAATGGTTATTTGGAACTTGGGAGGAATTACATAGACCCCACCTAATCTTGCCCATTATGTGGGGTTTTTTTATACCTAATTTGAAGAGCTAAACAATAAAAAAATTTTAAAACTGTTATTGAAATGGATTGATAATAATTTATTTACATGTTAAAAATAGGCTTCAACAAATAAACCTTTATGCACAAATACAATTAGTTGACTAGATAATACTTTTTATTAAAATATAAAAAATTATAAATAAATTGATAATTATTTACATGATAAAAATAAACTATAATGATAATTTAAATTTCTTATATAGATACAACCAATAAATTTATTTATATCAGGAATAATAAATAATGGATAAAATAAAAGCCATTTATGATTTAAAAAAACAAAGATATTAGTTTGAAGCAATGTTGCAGCACAGGAAATCTCAATATCTGTTGCCCATGTACCATTGCAACCCATTTTGTTCTTCACAATGTAAGTAATCCATTGTGCTATCCCCTATGAACCCTCTAAAGAAGTTGATGTGCTTTTTTTGAAGCATAAAAGAAATCAGAATAGTCCTGATCATTTCATGATGATGCTCAGCATTGCTGATTTCCTTGCTAAGACATCTATAATAATATTTAGAATAGATTCTATAAGTGTTATTAAAAAAATACCTGAAAAAGCAATTTCCATCACTTATAATTGGATCAATATCATCAGGATCCCCCAAGCTTAATAAATAATGATTTTGAGTACTTTGTGACACAATCAAATTCAGGCCTAATTTATCAGAATGATATTTTTCCCATTCTGTTCTTGTTGGCTGGAAAACAAATGGAATTTTGACAGGTTGATAATTATGAACAAGTTTATTCACTAAAATAAATTTAAAATGTATAGTAGTGTATATTACAACTAACCAAATGCAAAGGACTCTAAAAATTTAAACATCTCTATACCTCATATTGATGTCAACAGACTTTATACAATAATGATTAATAGATTAAAAAATAGTTCATTGCATAACTTAATATAGAATTAAAGTTTCTCATAATGAAGTAAGATATTTGTAAAATATATTATAAAATCTATTAACTAAGCCAGAAATTAGCTTATAAAATTGATAACATTTGGACTGAATTCAACTGACAAAGTATATAGAATAGCATAAAATATCTTTATATCATGTTTAATTATTAGATTTATAAAAAGTTTACCTTTATACTTTCTAATTCTGTGCCTTCCATAGCAGAAAATTTATGTAAGTAGAGAAGTGGAATCAAAATATATTTTGCTCTAACCAGAATACCTATTATTTATATTATAATTTATATAAAATAAATCTGTATATTCTATAAAACAAAACAATAATGCTGAAAGCTGGGTTCAGAGAATATTTAATTAATATATAAAAAATAAATTGTTTATTTACCTTTATTTCTTATTCTGTACTTTCCATATCAGTAAATTTATAGTAGAGAAGTATCAAAAATAGCTTAGAAAATAAAATCCATTTTTTTTATAAAATGGAGGATTTTAATTATCGCGGGAACATGGTGTTAAACAAATTTAATAAACGAGGGTGTGATATTTAGTTTTTTCACTAAATATCACGGGCGTTAGTAGCAGTCATTATCAACTTTGAGATGTGTGATAAACTTTGGATTGAGTCCAGATATTTGACATAAAAATATGACATAGGTTATCTTATTGATTGATTTTTCCCTATTATTAATCAATAAAATTATTTATGTATTTTAAGCATTATACACAGCTCAACCCGCAAGCTGGGCTGGGAAAATTTTTTTATTAGCTGGGCAACTCATGTAATAAATTTAAATTTAAAATAATTTAAATATATGATATTTATATTAAAAATATTTTTCATAATGACCAGATAGCATTTATAAAATTTTAATGGACGATTTGCTGAGCAAGTAAATTGTTGTATAGCTTATTTGTTGAAAAATATATTTATAATAAAACTACTTTAAGTTTTTTTTACCCATCCCACCCCATAAAATCCCGATATGCGGGTAACATTATGAAATTCAATACTTAAATGTATTGTTTGATAATAAAAAGGCATTAATCAATAAAATAACCTATGTAATATTTTTATGTTAGATATTTGCATGACCCAAAGCCAAATCCGCATCCCAAAGCCTCTTTCACAAATCAGACATTAGAAATATTCTGATGGGGACCATTAAGATCATATAATTTAGAAAATATAATGTATGAACATTTTAATTATTTAAAATCTAATAAGATACACCATTTATAGTATAAAAAGGCATTAAACTATTATGAGAACCTATTATATCATATATTATTTAAAGAATATAATGTAAGAACATTAATAATCATTTTATCCAATAAAATATAATACGTCACGTATAATATATAAAATTTTTATTGATTTTATCTATGATGTTGCTGTAAATGAGGGGGGGGGGGGGTTAAGTCTATATAAATCATAGATTCAATTATATTATATTATAAAAGAAACATTATAATTTTATTTAAATGAAAGGTCATATTAAAAACAATTAACGATTATAAAAATATAGCGCATATATATGAAAATTTAAAACAAACAACTGGAGAAAAATTAATTAAGAGATCGATTTTCATTTCTATATGTAACCATGATTAGCAATGCAATTACTTTGTTGAATAGCCAACTACAGAAGGCCCAATTCTATCAACCTAATACCTTGGTTCTTCCAGTAGATTGGGATTACACATGCATCGATTTTTCGGCATCCAATAGAAATGCTTTGGCACATTCAGCTGATTTGAAAATAAACTAATAAACAGACATCGCAACATAATTTTTTTTCCATTTATCACCAATACTCTTGGTATTTTTGATGATGGATTCCTTAAATTTATCACATTATTAGGGAGACAATTAAGCCAAATAAGTAGCTATCATAATAAAGCCTTCTACTTTAAACAAGCCATTACGATGGCTATTCATCAAAGTGATTGCATTATTCGTGGTTCATATAGCAATGCAAATAAACCGATCTCTTGTTTTTTTAATTTTAATAAAGTTGTTTGATTTAAATTTCTACATATATCATGCGCATTATTTTTATAATCATTAATTGTTTTTTTATATGGCATTTGTTTTAGATTCGTTTTAATAATAAACTCATTGAATAATAAATAAATAAAATTTTCAAATGACATGTTTGATGATCCTAATAAACAATTTTTTAACTATATAACAGTAGTTTCATTAAAGTAAGGAGAGGGGCAGAGGCTCGAGACCGCTGAAAAATTTGAAGAGTTCCTTCAAAATTTTGAAAATGTTAGCTTTAAAAAAGAGGTAATTTGGGATAATATTAGCTAAAAAAAAAGATAATTTTATAAATAATTTTAAAAGAAATTTTGAGCCCCCTGAAATTGTAAAGGCTAGTGACTCCCCTGCTATATATATATAACTTGGACTTGATGTTGCGAACAAATAAACCATTTATACAAATTAAATCATTTATATATAGAGATGTAAATTTTCCGGGATAATTAATTCAGGGGAAATAACGGAAATTTAAAAAATAACCACAAAATACACTTTAAACCTTTCAATTTTTTTTATTGAATGACTTTATAAAATTTGGGGAACTAAGGAAAAATAAAATATTTAAACAATATAGACAAAAAAACACTGTAAACATTTCATTTTTTATACAAGTAGCATGTATTATAAATTACATTTAAAATTTATGTAAGCTAATGAAATAGCATCAACATCTTCATGGGATGTGGTTGAAATATCATAATTATCACTTGATATTGATAAATCGAAATCCTTAACATGAATGCATTTATGTAATCCTTTTAATGTATGTTATGCCTGATTGATATTAATTTTTTGACTCTTTCTTTCTTTATTCTATTTCTCATTTTTGAATTTTCCCAAATGCTGACCAGACTCCTTCTGACGAGGTTGAAGGTGGTATCGAAAAACATATTACTGCCACTTGACAAAGGGGTTGATTTGTACACAACCTTTTCCACCATATGAGTAGTTTGGTATGGATTGAGTTCTCCCATATGCCAGCTCCTTTATAGAAACCTTGTTTTGAACTATATTCTGTTAAATTACCCATAATTTTTCCAATATCGCAATTAATTTGCCAATTACGGATGAGATAATTGAAAAATTAGCTCATTCCCAACGAAGATTGAATTTTACATCATAAATATATAATATGTTTCTTAATAATATTTTTTGTGCAATTTTATTTTTTAATGTGTTGTATATTTTTCATGAATACTCTATAAGTTATTACATACAAAATACAATTATTCCTAAGAAACTTGTGTATTAATTTATATTTCCAACATTTAAATTTTTTATACTTTTTATACTTTTTATATATAAATTTTAAAGGCTTAAAAAATTTAAATTTCTATTTTGGGTCATTTATTTTATATGCCGGTTTATATATTTAATTTTTTATAATTCACATTAATAAAATAGTATATTAGAAATAGTTATTAGTCCTAATAAATTTATGCTTTATATTTTTAAATAACAATAATTTTATCTTTAAAAAATTGAATTATCCCCCTCCCCCACACAATTCCTGCATACGCGCCTGTCCTTATATTTCAAATCTAAATATATCATTAATTATTAATAATTTTCTATAATATATCATAATATTATGTATGAGAATATAATGTTTAACATTTTACCTTTGTTTTGTACTTTTAAAAATATAGATTTGAAGAGGTGCACTAATAAAAAAAATAAGTTTAAAGACTCACGAGGAAAATATAAATTATTTTAAAATTTATGATATAATAAATCAAATTATAAATCATAAGTTTTGAAATAAAATATTTCCAATAAATTATTATATTTATATTAAGGAAAAATTCGGGAGATTTCTCGAGGAAAATATATTTCCCGGGAAATTTCCCTACCTTTACATCTCTATCTATATTCGATAACAACATAATAACACAATCATAAACATCCTCATTCCATTCCATAATCATAATCATCAGCAATCATTTTTGAACTTTCCCGCATCTCCAAAACCATATGGTGTGGATTGATTCTTGTCTGTCTATCCTCGTGTTCGGTAGCTAATCACGACATATATACAAAATTTTAAAGTATCAATCAATGCGTTAAAAATTTTAAAGTAAAATCAAACATAAGTATATCTTTAAGATATAAAAAATTTTGACATGGAATTCCCCAAAAAATGTTTTACTCACGATATTTTCTCTAGCCCTTTTTAGTCCCCTTAGTTTATATAAAAGTGACAATATTAATAGACAAGCGAGGTAATTATATATCTGCTTGATATTTACTATTTAATGATAGAAATTAGTCAATTATCATATCCACAATTATATTAAATATAATCAGAATTTTAAGTTTTTAAAAAATATAAGAATTTGCCGCAACAGTTATAGTTTTAAAAGAATTTATAGTTATAATGCATCCCCCCCCCCCAAGATTTCTTATTGATATCATATTATATTGGTTCTTGATTTCAACTATTATTAAATTTTTACATAAAATTGGGTTAATAATTATTTATCATTTTTGTAAAAAAAAACGGTTTATTTTTGCTGTTATTTATATTAACTATTAAATAATAGGGCTGTAACGATCCACAAATTTTTTTAAAGATCATCCTTTATTCACGATGCCCTTCCATTTCAACCAAATGACATAAAAAATTTATTTTTTACTATGTAAAAAATAAATATTGTAAACTGTGGGCAAAACAAGAACCACTTAGAAATTTTTCGTTTCTCTTTAACCAAACATATGCGTAATGTATTAAAAAATATGGACAATATTTATTGTTGTGAGTAGCGATAATCAAGTCGAAAAAAAGAAAAAAAAATATATATTTAAAATTGTCAAAGACGCGTATTAAATGATTTACAATGTTATAGAAACATTTAATTTGAATAGAAAAATTAAGGATAATTGGATTTGTAAAATTAATTGAGAAATTTTGAATAAAAAGAGTGAAATTTATAATTTTATATAAATTAGTTGTTTTAGTAATTGTATATCATATATTTAAAAGATTAATAAATTCGTTTCTTTTGGTGTAATTTTTATGTGAGACGCGTATTAAATGATTTACAATGTTATAGAAACATTTAATTTGAATAGAAAAATTAAGGATAATTGGATTTGTAAAATTAATTGAGAAATTTTGAATAAAAAGAGTGAAATTTATAATTTTATATAAATTAGTTGTTTTGGTAATTGTATATCATATATTTAAAAGATTAATAAATTCGTTTCTTTTGGTGTAATTTTTATGTGTTATAATGGTTGTTAATTAATAAATAAATTAAATTAAAAAAGGTAAGTACAGTTAATCCGGCTTACAATTCACTTTAAAACATTTATGGCTGATACATAAAATCATAAAATAATCAAAAACAAATATCGGATCGGTTTTTTGAAAAATAAAGACCGATATTTTTTTAAACGATTAATAATGGCCCCGCCCCGATTCTATATATAATATTGCCACTGCCCGAAAAAATAATTTTCTTTATTATATTATCTTAAATAAAATAAAATAAGCGGTATAATAGGCAAATCTTTTGCTTGGATATTTGCCTTAAATGGATATACAATTCATATTTTTGACGTTGATCAATCCCAACTCCAAAAATGCATTGATAGTATCAAACAAGATCTAAAGGATATTGGAGAAAAATGCACTGACACTATTAGACAAGATTTAAATGTTATTGTAAATGATATGTATATTGAAAAGATAATAGGAAGAGTGTTTGCTTTCACTGATTTAGCAAAAGCTGTTAACAATGCCTTTTTAATTCAGGTTTATTTTTCAGGCTACTTTTTTTTTAAATTATAGAAGACTATTATTAATATAAGAAATTCCTATGTTTCCAATTTTCATTTCTTGTACGTACCACATTAACTTAAATCATTCGAAGAACTTATTTCTACTAATTAGTGTAGCTAAAAGCCCCGATTTATTTTTAAAAACAGTCGATTAAGATTTTAGCCAAAATAATATTATACATGCTTGGAGATTTCTCAGGATGGCAAAAAGGTTTAAACTTCTATTTGCCAAATCTCGACGTGGCTAAAATCTTAATAGGGTCGTTTCTAAAAATCCACTTAAATTTAGCTTTTTAAGTACTCATACCCTTACCAATAATGGCTCCTAGTTTATGTGGCATATAATTTTTAAATGAGCTTTTAGTAATTAAGACATTATAATAGAATCCCATGGGTTTTTAAAATACGTATTTTTCAGTCATGTCGGAATTTGCACAATAAGGTTTAAAATATATTTATATCACTGTTTGCTTGAATGATATCTATTTGTTATAAGATTTCATTAACTGTTGATAAATCTTTGATACTATTTATTTTATGCTATTTTCTTGAATATGTTGATACAAATCTGCCTTTATAAAGGGGATATTTGTAACATTTAGATTTCCCCATATGTTTCTGATTTAGTTGAAGTTGAAACTTGATGAAAGCGATTCCACATTTAACTCCCATTTTTGTGGACTTTTGGAGGCTTCATCCTTTTGCATCATATATTCTGTAAATAGAATCTTTTTGATTGGAAGCTACTAAACAGACCTGATTCTGGCTTCACCCATTTGAGAGGGGGGGGGCAAATAAAAAAATTTTCCATCACTATAGAACAAATATTTAAGTTATTTGAAAACAAAATTGAAATAAACGAATTTTAAAAATACCAGATATAAATATATACAACTATCAAATATGTTTATAAAATTAGATGGATGATAGGAATTGACTTATAGCTGGAAAGAAATAAGTTGATTTAATGATTTTACAAATATTATATAAAAACATTGATATAGTTTAATTGTGCTTGTATAATACTTGTTAGGGAGTCAATTATAAAATATATGCAATTTAGAAAATATATATAACTATATTACAATTGGTGTTATGTCAATGATTGAGCAGTGTGAAACTAACAAAGATAAAGCAACAACTATATAATTACGGTTGAGATGTATTTTTAAATACCTTGAAAACATTTCCCAAAATTATCGGTTATGTTTTTCGATGTCCTAATAAAACCAAGTTACCCTTTTTTATATCACTACTAGAACGTATATCTGATTTGATAATTCTCTTTAATGGTTAAAAGTTGTCACAACTTGATGTGGATGATCTAAACTGATACCGAATATTTGAAAAACATTTGCATTTTTATAATGGTATATAAATTTGTCAAAATCTGATGTACAATCTTTATAATTTTCTAAACTTTTAACAAATAATTTTAACAATCTCAATTTTAATTACTAATCCCTCTTCAGTAATATAGGTTGCCAATAAAGGTTTTAATTTTTTTATGCCTAGAAAATTAAAATGGCTATCTGATTTAAATTTCCTAATTAGTATATACAAAAAAATAATAAAAATCTTTTAGCCTTATGACCCTCTTCTGTGTATTCTGCAATTATAATGTTCTCAAGGCCCCTGTATACAAGAACATTTTTCCAGTTGGTAAAATCCATTTTAGCATTATAGATTAGATTCACCATTCTTTAAGTTATAGATCTTGCAAGGAAGGCAAAAAACTGCATCAGCTTCAATTAATTATTCAACCTATACGTATTTATAAAACTTTAAAGAAATTCTTCTTCCATTATTAGTAGCAGTCTTTTACCAATATTGTTGTTAAAAGGCCGGATTTGGGTCGATTTTAAAAAACGACCCGATTAAGATTTTGGCCAAATAATATTATGTCGGCCTCGTCATTTTGCAAATGGATGTCCAAACCTTTCTGCCATCTATGAACAAAATCTCCAGATTTACATAATATTATTTTGGTTATAATTTTTATCTGGCCGTTTTTTTATCGAACAAATTCGGACTTTTTAACACCACTAGATCTTGGCCTATTTGGTGATAACTGATTTCAGTTGCAAAATATTTGCAATAAGAATTCTTACAATCCATTTTGTTTTTGCAAGCTTAGGCATTTCCCTTATTCTAAATCTTGGCATCTTGAATTTTCTCTTCCACCAAATTAACTACATTTACATTTTCACCTTCCTCATCACAATATAAGGGCATCAGAAGACATGAATAGTTTTTTTTAAACCGATAGGTTACAGTTATTTCTCCAATACATTCTTATTTTTAAAAAACAGTTATTTCTCTCCCATTACATTCTTATTTTTAAAAAATGTATCTAAAAAATATTCAGGAACTAGGAAATATTTTTGGAGGGGGAGGGGCAGTTTCTAATTCCTCCTAAATAGGCCTAGAATCGGGATTGCTGCTAAGAGGGTAGTTATTAATAATTTTAAAATTTTGCAATTCCTTAACAAACACAAACCCCCCTACACCTTCCCAGTCTTTTAACCTCTCGATTGTACTCTCATTGAATTGCACTGTTTGAAGATTTTTTATTCAACTTCATTTTTCTTTCTAGTGTAATATTTTTTTCCCAATTATATAAGGAAATATATTACTTTAAAATACTGAAATATAATGGTACTTGAAAAAGCATTAAAAAATTAAAATAAATAAATAAAAGAATTTAACAAAAGCATTTAAACAAAATATTTGAAGGTTTCGTCGTTATATGGCAGCGGCCATGAGTCTGATTATTTTGAAATTAAACTGGATTACTTCATAGATATACTTTTTCTTTAATTTTAAATGACCTCGAGAATATGTTATAGGACTTCTTTTACTTATAAGTTTGAAAAGAGATTTAACCTCTTTTACTAATGGAATCAATATTGTATAGGCTGATATATGGAGTATTTTAAGTTTATATATAGCAATTCCTATGGGATCGTGAGGGCTATGAAAGGGGGCAAAAATGTCGATACAGAAGTAGCCCTACATATGTTTGCATTCTACCCCAATGGATCAGTGTATGTCCATCAGGTCGGGTTTGGTTTTTTAACATATCAACCCATTTATTTAGAAATTTTATATACCCGCCCAATGCTTAAAAATTATTTGATTGATTTTTTTTTGGATTTTTATTAATTTATTTTATATTTTTTTTACTAACTTATAAAATATGCAATGTCATAAAATGAAAAAAAATATTTTTAATAAATATAAGGCCCAATGTTTAAAATTTTTTTTTATGGCCATTGCAGACCTCCATATTAGACAATTGAACCAACTCTATTTATTTATGAATATAATTTTTGATTATTTGACGAGTCAAACACTGTCCATTTACCGTATATTTGTCTAACCGATTCCTAACCCTGATTTATACTCATTTTAAAATATGTCTCATTAAATTATAATTATCAAAGGAATGCGTGCCAGAAAATTTGGAGCTAAAACGCAAAGTGTACAAAGAGGTTGATGGTCTAATGACTGTCAAGCAAATTTTATCCTCTTCAACTAGCAGTCTATTGCCATCTATTCTCTCGAAGGATCTTAAACACAAGAAAAGATTTATTGTGTGCCACCCGGTTATAAATTCAATAATAAAACGCATATTTTTTTTATATAATGGTAAATATTACTCTTTTTAACTTATTTAAGGGGAATTTTTTTAGTGAACTAGGGTTTCCACATTCCTTCAAAAAAAATGCGGAGAATCTACTTTTTTCAAAAATTACCACAAAATAAAATCTTATTTTATATTAATTAATTTTTATGTAAAATTAATATTTCTGTTTAAGGTATCCATTATCTATCTCAACCTGCGCTTTCATCGCAAGCCACCTACAGGCACTAATTGCTAGCAGTCCTAGAACCTTTTTTGAGTATGTCTAGAATGGAATGGACAAAGTCCATTCGAATTCTACAAGATAAAAAGATTGGGATTTACCATTTATAAAAAACTGTTGTTTACCTTATTTCTAGTTTCCACCTTTGTCTAGATCCACAATCAATCAACTCATTAAGGATCAGAGATACGAATTCTTAGAGGTTATACTATTTAAAGATCTCGGAATCACATTAGAACCTTCAAGCCTATTTGCTGACAATATACGTCCTTATGGAATTACACTAATTCCATACAGGGAAATTCATAATTTCATTAATATGGATGCAACACAAGCCCATAATTTAAAAATTGCCAAATATTTAGGATCAACACTAACAATATATTAATTTGGCTACGACCTTTTTCAAAGCATTGGTCGTCAAATCATAAAAAAATCCAAGTTTTTAAGACAAAGAATATCAAAGGCGAATTAGGTATGTTTTACTAACTCAACTGCTTCAGGAATTCTATCTTTGACAATCGGGAATTGGTTTTTAACCAATTTTAACTGTCTAAAAGTTTTAGACGTGTAGGAATTATTAGTTTTTTTTATAAATAGTAGCTTTTATTTTGATCGGAGTTGTCATTAATTATTTAAAAGCATATTAGACTGAAGAGCTTTTATATTGGCCGGTTTGAGCCGAGTTAATGCCTTTTATTAAAATTTTCTCATTTTATAGTATTCGCTGTTTTTTGTATCTAAGGTTGTCAGTAATTTGAGCATTATAATAAATATATTCAATTTTCTAAATATCTTATCCTAGAATATCTAGCAATATTTAATCCCAAATAGGCGTTTGCTAAAACGTTTTCAAGTATATTTTTAATATTGGATGATATCTTATTTTTCTTTTTTTTAAGTAGAATAACAACTCGCACCGATAATTTTGAATTATCAGTGTTTCCCTCTTGGCTAAATATATTTCCATATAGTGCTTTCCGCCAATGATGAAATAAAATGAAAATTACTAATTTTTAAATAATTATTTTTTTATAAAAACGCTTGATAAGACAGAGAATAGGATGATTTTTTTTATTTATTAAAATACATATACACCTACAAATATACAAATCGAATCGAATAATAGAGCTATTAGTATTCGATTCGAAAATTTTTATCAAATAATTATGTTTTTCTTATTCGTAAAATACAAATCGAATAACGAATAATACGTTTTAGGTATTAGAATAGAATGAAAAAGTAATAAAAACATTTCTTTTAAAAAAATATCAGTCTGAAAAAATGGGAAAGCAGGGGCGAACTCTTATTAATAAAAAATAAAAATGGTCTAAAAATTAACGATCTAAAAAATTATAAAAATATTTTATTTATTTTGCAAGAAAACATTTTTTTTAGGGTAAAATTGCATCAAAAGGTTATCTAACTAACAAAAGTCGGACTGTCCCGATAATTTTGCCGATATTAAAATGATATGGTTATAAATGTGAATATCTTAGAATTGCCAAGACAGTAAATTTTAAATACATAACCATCTTAGATAAGGAAAAGTCAGCATCGGCAAATGAAATGAACCGATGCTTTGGATCGGGTTTTAACAATTTTTTTTACAATCCATTCCAGAACAAATTTTTGATCATCCAATTCTGACGCCCTTTTATAACAATTATGTTTTATAACAAGGTTTAATATTATATCGATATTCCAATATTTTATGCATAAATAATTAGCTGCCAATCTGATGCCAATTCTAAGATATACACATTTATAAAAGGTCATTTTAATATCGGCACAGCATACGGGTTAAATAATTTAGTAGCGTCTAATAATAAAAAGTATCCTCCCGATACTCGGTATTGGGCAACTATGTAGGAAAATAAAATATTTTGAAAAAAATTGAATATTCATAAATATTGTGATAAATTATAGATTAGCGTGGCGATGATTTATGCCTAAGTGAGAATAAAAAAATAGAGTTTTCAGCCAAGGAATTCTGGCAACCCTAAGTTTAAATTAATATAAATATTTGGACAAGTATCTTTATTTTTAACTTTTCCTATTTATTGCCTTTTCTTTTATTTTTTTTTGTTAACATAATAAAAAATTTTTGGAAAAATGCACCTATCTTGTTATTGTAATATTGATTAATATTATTAGCACTCAAGTTAATTAATTTTATACTTATAACGTGAACAGGTGAACCCCGTGGATATTGTGCCCATAGTAGAAATCGTACCAGCACCCTGGACTGACCTCGATGTTATAAAAACAATGAAAGATCTTTTGAGTGGCATGGGAAAACAACCCATAGTCTTAATCAAGGAAGTTCCTGGATTCATAGTCAATCGACTTCAATACGCCATCTTGAATGAGAGCTATAATCTCGTTAATGTATATTCACGCAATTGATAGTTATTCTTAATTATTTTTTTTGAATCTTGGTTATTTTTATTTTATTAAAATTCTGGTATAACTATATTTTTCTGCTCTACATTAAGTCTATTTAAATACGAATAATAGTAACGAATTTGTATCTAATAATTCGAGTTATCCACAAATTACTAAAAGAGTTCATTTTTTCAGCAAAATATTCGATTAATTCGATTTAATTCGAATCGAATTAATCAGAAAACCTAAACCCTATGAATCTAATGGGTGATGTGATTAACAAGTCGTACATCAGTTGTTTAGGAAATACTTTTCTTATTTGGAACTAATTTGCTGTCATAAAGCTCAGATCTTATAAAGAAGAAACAATAAGAAGAACTCTTTGACTTAAAAATTGGTTTGACATTATAAATTAAATTAATATCCATTTTAATTTCGTAATAACTTGATCGCATGTTCTTTATTTTCAGATTATTTTAAGAATTTTTTTGTGTGAATCATTTTATAATGTTTTTAAAAAATAAATAATTCGTACAAATGCGAATAGCAAATTATTTGATTCATTTTCGTTTTTGAATAGGTCTACTTTATATTATACATATTGCATATATGTATTTAAAATACGACAAATTGTTTTTGCAAATTTTGTTAAGCGCGGAATCGTGTCAGTTCAAGATGTTGATAAAGTAATGTCGGAGGGATTATCCCTGAGATGGGCTTTCTTGGGGCCTTTTCAAATCGCTTCCCTCAACGCTAACGGTAAGACTTTTATATACATTTTAAGTTGTAAAAAAATGAAATACTTGAGAACTTTCCGTTTATAAAAAATAAATCATTTCGGTATATCGATTTTTTAATCAAAGGCTGGAATGATTATTGCGATAAATATAGCAAAATGATCAAAGAGGTTAGTGATACGTTTGATCCACCTCAGTTATACGAAGGGAAAACCTCTGATAGTATTTTTCAACAGTTGCAAGCGATTATACCAATAGGAAAATTGAATCAAGCAAGAGAAAAATTGGCGAATCAAATGAGAACTTTATTAAAGTTAAAAAAACAAAATTAATAAAAAGAGGATATAACAACTAAGAAGAAAATTTAATTTTATGCCCAACTAGTATAATTTTTATTAAATAAATATAATTATTTATTCTCAACCCACGTGTTAATTTATTTGTTTTATTTACCTTTTATGCCTTTTATTTATATTGCTCAATTTATTGATATTTTTTCTAAATATGATATATAATATGGCTTACCAAATAATTATTAAAATCATGATTTGTAATTGATTATGAAATATAACAACTATATCATATAATATTTATATTTTTTATACAAAAAATTGTTTAATAAAGTCATTTTATATTTAGAATTATAATTTAAATTGTAGCATTATAAGTCAAAATCGTGAATATAAATATTTTAAAAGCTCATAAATAGTGTTGTTTATTATTTATTATTCGGGACATAGAAATCTACATTAACTTGATTCTTCTTTCCTTCTTATTTAGGGCAAGTTGGATTCTTACAATAAATTATAATTGACTGGCGTTTGGCTCGTCTCAACCGACATGCAATTATTATGTTATATACACATATTACTATTATTCTTATATAAATTCCTATTAAACTTTTCACAGCATATCGTTCATCGTTATAATAGTGGCACGATATTATATTACTACCAATATCCAAGTATACTAAAGGCCACTTGGGACATTATTAATTTCATATTTTACAATATGAATTACAATTTGTCACTTTAACCATGTTTTATCTTTTATATTAAATAATTTTTATATTGTGCCTATTTTTAGATAAGTTTGTGATATCGCGTATATATATATATATCAATATGACTATTCTTATATTTGTATTAAATAAATTTTATTATTGATTAATAAAATAATTTATATTAGTTACTTTACTTTTATGCTAATCTCTAATTTTGTCTACAATTGATAAAAATTAACTATTATTTTTACATATGAGCATTTTAAGTTTTCATAAAAATTATAAACTCTTCATTGTGTTTATTTAATTTAAATAAAAATCATAAACGTGTTCAGTTAGTTCTTATAAAAATCAATTATAGTGTATAATTAGTTGTTCATAGTTAAAAAGCTCACATTAAAAATGAATTGTTATACGAAAAGTTTTTGTTAGGCAATAAATTATTTTGACCCAGAAAATGTATTAATTTTTTTAAAAAAATGTTTAAAAGGCAGGGTTGGGCAAATTTTCAGAAAATTGTATTCGGATACAGATACAGATACTTTATAAAATTTTGTATTCAAGATACTAGATACTTTAGAAAAATTTCAATAAGATACAAGATACTTGTATTTTTAAAAAAAAGTATCTAAGATACAAGATACTTTTTTTAAAAACTTTAAATAGTCAAAATCAAAATGTATAAAGCTTTATTTTCTTATCTATAATATAAATTTATAAAAAAATATTTAAAATAAATTGTAGAAAATAACAAATTTATTATAAAAGATAATGCGATATTCCATTTAATAATTATATAATTAGTAAATAATAATAAATCAGCATTATTTTTTAATATTATTAATTTTTCAAATGATTTATCGTTCAATCTTTGACGATTTGGTCTATTAACCATATTAGCAAAGCTAAATAATCTTTCAACGGGGGCTGAGGAGAGTAATATTGTGTTATAATTAATAAATATCTTTTATATATTTATAACTATTTAACATATTTATACTCCGCCTGTCATCTTTCATATAATTTAGGACCTCTATTTCAATATCATTTATTGAATTATTAGAATTGGATGTGGTACTTTTAAGGCAAAAGTAATCATCACCTTCATCAATTGAAGATTTTGTTGAAGTATTAATTTCAATATTATTTTTAAAAACAATTAAAACTTCATGTAATAACAGATCCTGAAGGTATTTTTTTCTTTTTCACCATCAATCCAACGATTTTTAAAATAGGGATGAAAAATTGTTGCCAAAAATGCACTTTTAAAATTGTTATCAAAATCATATATATTTTTAAGTCTTTTTTTTAAATAATTTTCTATGGCAATAGCTAATAGTTTGCAAAATTGTAGAATGGTTTGAATTAAATTTGTAATTTTTTTTAACGACATTCAAAATTGGAGCTGATTCTCCATAATAGCAGTTGATTTCACTCTGTATTTCAATCGCTATAGCCAATGGGGCCATTATATTGCAATATTCTTGTAAATGTTGAATTTCAATATCTCAATTTAGGAAATTCTAATTTTTGACATAATTTAGGAAGTTCGCCTTTATTTTAATAAACTATGAAGACTATCATACAAACTATTCCATCTAGTGCAACAGGGTGTGTAATAAATTAATAAATGATTATTTATGTATATTGTATATTAAAAATAGAATCGAACATTCGAAAAACAATAAATAAAAATTTGATATCAAAAATAAATTGAAATATAAATTAGTAGTTTGTTTATAATTAGTAGTTGGTATTACTACAAATGGCGACGATAAATGGAGAAAATAATTCCTTAAATGGAGATAATAATTCCTTAAATGGAGAAAATAATTCCTTAAATGGAGATTCAAAAAAAAAAGCGGATTTAACTACGATTAAATTTGATAAATTCGAGTTGGATACTTCTATCCACAGATATTTTTCTCAATGGGAAGCCAGTTTTCGGTTAAAAAACGTAAGCCCATCTGAATGTCAATATAAAGATATATTTTTAACATTTTTTGGCAATAAGAATATTGAGTTGGTGGACCGTTTTTGTTATCCTGATTCGATCGAAACTTTATCTTTTAAGGAAATTAAGTCAATATGTTTTAAACTATTTAAACCGAGGTCAACAACTTTTGCTTCTAGATTTGATTTCGTTAGATTACGGACGGAGAACAACTGAAACCATAACTGAATTTGCAGATAAAATTAGAACAATTGGCAAGCGTTGTCATTATCTTAATGATATTGACGAGCGTTTACGTGATCAGTTTATGGTTGGCATGGAAATACCGGGATTGGAAAGAGATCTTAGAGCTCTATATCCCGACGGTCTTGATAGAGATAATAATATACTGACTTTTCAATTTATTCTTGATCTGGCATTAGCTTCTGAGCGAGCAGATAAAGAAATGGCAAATAAAAATATGCCAGTTGTTAATAAGATAAATGTTAATAACAAAAGAAATGATAATGATAATAATTATAAACATCCAATAAAAACGACGACTACAATTGATAAAGGCTATAATAAAGTCAAGTATAATAATACATTTAATAAAGAGAATAATAAATACAAATATAATAATGATAAAGATTATAATAAACTTAAATGTTATAAATGTGGTTTTATTCATAACCGAGAAGTGAGATGTCCAGCTACAAATGCGGCATGTAATAAATGTAAAAAAATTGGTCATTTTGCAGTTTGCTGTAAATCAAAGAATTTAAATTATATAAGAGCAGCGTCATCAAGTGATTCTATTCATAATATTTGGAAGATTCAACAAAATCGAGAGAATCGAGCAAAACTAACTGCAGAGATAAATGGGTTAGATGTTGAATTTGATTTTGACACTGGTGCACAAGCGTCATTGATAGGAATTGATATATGGACAAGTATTGGGCGACCAAAAATTAGGCCAACCAGTCCATTGACTGCATATGGTGATCATCCGTTAGACGTCAAGGGCGAGACCCAAGTCAATGTTAGGATTGGATCACAGACAAGGACTCTACCAGTGGTAATAATGAATACAACTGGGGTGCCTCTTTTCGGATTACCATGGATTATAGCATTCAATTTAGAAATGCCTCGTCAGGTTATGATTAAACAAGTACGCAATTTGGTCAACAATATTGAAAAAGAAAAATGTTGCATAACACTAGATTCTAGAATTCGAGATTTGATTAATAAACACCAAGAAATTTCGGAAGAGAATCAAGATTCTAAACATGCTTTGGATATTCGAAGTATTAATTTAGATGATATGCAATTGTCAGAAAATATTCTACGAAAAGAGTCGAAGCAAGATTTAATAATATTAAAAAAAGTAGCAATACATATTGGCGAAACTTTGATCGTCATAAAGATAAAGAAATAGTTAATTTTTATAATCGACGGGAAGAGCTTTCTGTCAATCGTGATATTATAGAATGGAATGGGAGATTGGTTATTCCTAATAAATTAAGAAATGCAGTGTTAGGAATGATTCACTGGGGACATCCTGGGGAAAATGTAATGAAATCTATTTTTAGATTGTATTGTTGGTGGCCCAGATGTGATGTTGATATAGAAAATTTTATCAAAATATGTTCTGGATGCCAGAAAAATAGACCATGGTTAGAAGTTGATCTAATGCAGAATACCTCTGCTGATGCTATGATAAAACGACTAAATAAATGGTTTGCTAGGTTTGGAATACCCAAGTACAGTGTGTCAGACAAAGGACCACAATTCTTATCAGGGGAATTCCGTAGGTATTGTGATTTAAATAACATACGTCATATACGTTCGGCACCCTATCATCCAAAAACTAATGGATTAGCTGAACGTACAGTACGAACTTTGAAAGGTGGGTATTATGCAACGAGAGATTCAATTAGCGATCCCAAAAAAGAAGCTATGACACAGGTTTTAACAACCTACCGATTGGGAGAGCATAGTTCCACAGGGAGATCTCCTGCTAAAATTATGTTTGGGAGGCAATTGAAAACAAGTCTGGATTGGATCCGACCAAATGCCGAACACGAAATAGTAAGGGCTAATGATAAACAAAGCCTTCATCATGATTTACATTCAAAGGAAAGAGAATTTGAAATCTCACAACCTATATGGTTAAATAATGAAAATACCAATGGTTGGAGAGAGGGAGTAATTAAAGAAAGAATAGGACTTTATTCTTATATTGTTGAATCTTCCGGGAAAACATTACGGAAGCATGCAGATCAGTTAAGAAATCGTTTAGTTATCCCAAATCATGAAAGTTCTTTGGAAGTTACAGAAATGGTTGTGCCAGTGAATGAAGCAAATACAAACACAAATACAAATACCACATTACGTTGCTCATCAAGAAACCATAAACCTACAAAGAGGTTTATTGAAGAAATCTAACTTTAAATTGTTTGAAGGAAATGTAATAAATTAATAAATGATTATTTATGTATATTGCATATTAAAAATAGAATCGAGAACATTCGAAAAACTAAATAAAAATTTGATATCAAAAATAAATTGAAATATAAATTAGTAGTCGTATTGTTTATAATTAGTAGTTGGTATTACTACAGGTGTAACTAATTGTTTTCCTAAAACTGCTTTGATAAGTTCTGCAGTTTTAGGCCTATTATTTGCATTCCATAGCTTAGTACATTTAGCTATTGCAGGATGATGAATTTTAGAAATGTTAAGAGATTCCTTAATAGCTCTCTCGACATCTGTTGTGGCAATTAGACTTATCGTATAGCACAAACAACGAATGTGTTATGGCAATGTTATTGAGGCTTCTTTAGACCCTTAAATAAACAAATAAATAATTTTATTTGAATAAAATTTTTTACTAAATTTACAATATCATAATATATTTTAAAGAAGTATTAAATAATACTTTCAATGATTTCGAATTCTACACATTCGTCATCATTGATGTCAAAGTCATTCTCTACAGCTTCCATAGAATATCCAAACTTCTTGAAAGCTTTCAAGTTAGAGCCGTTATCTGTAACAGTTGCTATAACCTTTTCGTCAATACCAAAGTCACGATGAATTTCTTTATTATGATCATCTTGAAGTACTTCAAAAAATTTGCCATTAAGTATGCTTCAATGACATATAATATACCTAGACTGACGATTCATTCCAATTACATATAATATACCTAGACTGACGATTCATTCATTAAAATGCATTTTTAAGCGTCGTTAAAAGCAAAACAGCTGGACCCGCCATTTTGATAACAGAAATCATTATTAAAATTTTAAACGAGAGCTTAATTTATTACTATATCTGAAATTTTTCCTATGATACTTGACAAAGAATTTAAATCCACATCCATCTGCATTAATGGTACCATCAAGGATCCTATCCCACAAATATTCCAAGGCTACTCTTCCAAGAAGATATATATTTAGCAGACCAAATTCAAATAATTTAAAATTATATGACTAAATTATTAAAATTTATATTTTAAACATTTTTTTATACATAGAATATAAAGTATCTAATAAAGTTCCCTCACTTATCATTTGTTTTTCTTAAGACACAATATAATTGTTTTTAGTTTCTATTCTATTCTTAAAATATCTAATAAGGTAGATATATTTAAAATCATTGCTTAAATTTATGTTTATCTTAATATGAGACTTTACTTGCCCTTTTAATATTTCGAATCATACAAGGTGATAAACTGAATCATCAGGATTTTTATTATAAATATTCATATTGTTTGGCTTAAACATCTAAACATAAGTTAATTTTTAAAGAATTCTAGCTAAAAATTTACATTATGATATTAATAAAAAGGTAAAATATAAAGAAATCCAGAATATTAGGCATCCTCTCCAATATTTTTCTTAAATAATAAATGTAAAGTTCTCTCAATTTTAAAGTTGTGATCCTGAATCTTAAAAATAGAGGTATTTCTTTTTTTTAAATATAAAGTAAATTTTTAATCTTCAGATTCTCAATAATATATATATTATAAAAAATATGTTATATTATTAAAGAAATACAATATGAATTTAATATTTTAATCAGTTGTGCTAATTGGATCATATTGATTTAATAGATATATCTTAGGATAAATTATGTATTGCAAATAAAAAATTATTTTTCCTTATATTATATTATCCAGTTTATTTTATCAATAAAAAAAATATAGATTAAAAATAAATTAAAACATTTCTAAGACTTCAGATAAATTTAGCTTAATCTTACCTTTTTATTTTTTGAAGAATTTCATAACTTAATATTATGAGATTATTAATCTTATGATGAAAATCAATAATTGTTTATTATAAATTAATAAATAGAAATAATATTCATGAATTACAAAAAGGATTTATAAATATTATTTATATTTAAATATATATAGTTACAATATATATCTAATATCATTTAAATTAAAAAAGATTATATAGATATATTTATTGTCCTTTAAATAGAATGGTTTTGGTCAGTTTCTGACGAATGTTGGTATTTTCATTTTTATTTTGTTTATCTGCAAAATGATAAAATCTTATGTTTATGTAACGTTCAACTTTTAATCTAATTAATTTTTGATAATGGCTAGATGTTTCTTCTTGATCTAGCATGTGATCAACCAGATTATCAAAAATATTTGTTTCTATCACTTTTGAAATCACAAAAGATACTACGTTTAAATATACAAGGCCTTTTAATTTGATTATTATGTTCAAATGTACGGAAACCACTTTCAGCATATTATTGGCATAATCTAGATACATCTCTGGAAGGAATTATTAATCCCTGATTGTTTTTAATTATAGCTCTCTTGATCTTTACAATTTTTAACAATCATTGCAGAAATACATATATAACACTTTACTTTATCTTCGAATATAAGTTTACGTGTTATATATCCTGATATATAAGTTGCGATGTTATCAACGAATGGCGATAATTTTTGGATATCTGGAACATCTATAAAAGAAAAATCTATAGCTTGTATATTGTCATCATCATTATCATTATCTTGATAATCTCCACAAAAAAAATTTGTATTATCGAGTGGAATACAATTACCTGTGCATAAGGCTCCCATCTTTGCTATCATAACGCCTCTTATAGCTGATCGTAATTGATAGGCAGAAGGGTTATTATTAAAACCTCCTCTGCTTCGTAAACAGCTAAAGAAGAGCTCTAGATGATCTTGAGATGTTTTGTAGGTTAAGAGATATCTAAAATATGAAAAGCAATAAATATACAAAATATATATAATGCTAAATAAAATACTTGAGTTTGGGGTTAGGTCATAATAATAATTCCTTCCCTCCCAATTCCCAAAATGCTTTTCATTGACAAGATTAAGCCTATAATGCAGACTTTTTTTTTGATCTATAAACGTATTTTCCACTTTCAAACTTTAAGGATTTTAAAGTTTTAATGCACATCTCAAAAAAATTTTCATAATAAGAAAGTGAATTTGTAGTTAGTGGTTTTTTAAACCCTTTAGCAACTATGTTCCGTGTATTTAAAAAGTCAAACATTCTATAAAAATATTATTTAAAATATTAATATATTTTAATACTGATCAATCATTTGAATAAAGTCAACTGTGCTCTCACAATTTTCAAACCCATCAATCTTTAGCTCTTGTGCCAAAAGAATACCTTTTGTACAGCAAGTTTAACCTTTAAAAAAAATATAAGTATTGTAGTATTTTTAATTGTACTTTCATTTTTTGTTTGTGATAGTCAATATGAGATTTATTAATTTTATTAGCAGCACGAAGTCCTTCTTTATCTTGTAAATTGTGAAGATTAGCTATATATTTACAATTTATTATCTATTAATTTATAAAAATATATATTTTAATAGTAATTTAATTATTATTGATCCATTATTATAAATTAAAATTTTTTATCACCGAGAAGATTTCTCAACAACTTAATCATGTGGCATACGTAATGGATGCCTGTAAAAAAAATTTCCAATTGATCCTCCCCTTCACCACATATTAAATTTTTATTCTTCAATTGTTTAATAATTGATTTTAAATCGATAATCTTCTTATTTCTTATAGTTTCCCTCTTATAAGAGGCGCTCATTTTTTTTCTTAATTTTAAAATATATTTATCTTGATATTTGATCTTTCTTGATAAGAATGATAAATTGGCTGTATATATATGATCATTGGCTATTGTTTGTGAAGCATATTTTCTCTTAATTAAAATATAGACAAATAATATATCTCACAAGAATTTTAATAAATAGGGCTTACATGACTAGCAGGTTTCTCCAAATCTACATCTTCAAGAATATTAATAGTGTCAATTGTTTTTGAAACATTCTTATAAAAATATGTTTTATAATATAAATATTGTAATAAATATTAAAATATAGACAAATAATAAATCTCACAAGAATTTTAAAAAATAGGGCTTACATGGCTAGCAGGTTTCTCCAAATCTACATCTTCAAGAATATTAATAGTGTCAATTGTTTTTGAAACATTCTTATAAAAATATGTTTTATAATATAAATATTGTAATAAATATTAAAATATAGACAAATAATAAATCTCACAAGAATTTTAATAAATAGGGCTTACATGACTAGCAGGTTTCTCCAAATCTACATCTTCAAGAATATTAATAGTGTCAATTGTTTTTGAAACATTCTTATAAAAATATGTTTTATAATATAAATATTGTAATAAATATTAAAATATAGACAAATAATAAATCTCACAAGAATTTTAATAAATAGGGCTTACATGACTAGCAGGTTTCTCCATATCTACATCTTCAAGAATATTAATAGTGTCAATTGTTTTTGAAACATTCTTATAAAAATATGTTTTATAATATAAATATTGTAATAAATATTAAAATATAGACAAATAATAAATCTCACAAGAATTTTAATAAATAGGGCTTACATGACTAGCAGGTTTCTCCAAATCTACATCTTCAAGAATACCAAAAAATTAGAAAATATATAGCACAGCTTTTTACATGAGAATAATTGCTTTATAGGTTACCAAAATGGCGTCCCCAGCTGATTTGTATTGATGTATACTTTTAATGAATGAATCAATGACATCATTGGTATGCTTAGTTTAAATTTATTGTTATAATTTTCGGTTGAAGAATCATCTGAAGACGAAGATAAACATATTATTCTATTTTCTTCTTCCATAATTTTAAAATAGACAGATATAAAACGATTCAAATATGGTAGTTCTAATTGTTAGCAAATTGCTATATGACAACCAACGTCATATATCAAAAATTATCTTAAAATATCTATATTTTGATTAAATTTTTCATTAAAATCTTAAAACAATATCATTTTACATTTTAATACTATTTAAATTAATCAATATAAATTTTTTTAAAAGTATCTGTATCTTTTTGAATACAAAGTTGGTTAAGATACAAATACTTTTAAATAATATGTATCTTAGATACTGGATACAAGATACTTTCCAAAATTTTAAAAAAGATACAAGATACAAAAGTACCTTGTATCTTAGATACAAATATCCGCGATACTGCCCAACCCTGTTAAAAGGTAAATTTAATAATATTTTAAATAGCGTAAAATATATCCATGTGGTATTTAAATAAATTCTAAAAAATTAATAGAGATTTTTAAATGATAAATATGACTCCTAATTTTTTTGAAGTGTGAAATTAATTTTATGATAAATTATATTAATCGCTGTTATTTTACTTCAGGATTTTATAGCAAAAAAATGGCCGCCAATGTTTTAGAGCGAAAAATTTATGCAGTCATTTTAAACGGCTGAATTTGTTTTGAAATTCCATGGTAAATGACAGCAGTCAAAACTTTAGGGTAGGTTTCCCATTTATTTGTTCCCTTATTGCTTCAGAAAAAATATTAAACTGATATTCCTTATAGAAAAACAATTGGACTCAGAGAGGATTATGTATATATTCATTCTTTTTATTTGAACTAGAGGATGGATCGAGCTAAAATTTTATTTACGCATCACCCATTCACGCTCACACTAGAAATCACGCCCACTCTCGTTTTATGATCAATTTTTTTTAACTTAACCTGCCTCACGAAAGGCAAAATCTTTATCAAGCCCTCAAAGTTTATGGATTATTTTTAAAATATCTGCCTCATTTATTGCTATAATTTTACCCTAAGAATTCACTAATTAATACATTTTTAAATCAAAATCTTTAATTAAAAATGATAAATTCCAGTATTATTTATTCTTAAAGCGTTCAACCTATCTTTAGTAAACGATTATTGGCTATTGAAAATAATCGTTCACTAGAAGCCGAACTTGGCTGGAGGCTGACTAACTGTTACGGCTAATTTTTGAAAAAAATGAATGGCTCAAAATTCGAAAAATTTAATAAAAATAAAGTTAGCTTTTGCTAAAAATAAAAAAATGCTAGAAATTTTAAAAATTCTAAAAGTTTATTCTATTTTTTTGTTAAATTTGTAAAAATTCTTAAATTTCAAAATAGAAAGAATCCTGTTTTATATACAGTTTTTAAAATAGTTTCTTAGTAAAATGTGTTTAACGATATAATAATTATTACATGCCCGTTGATTTAAAAAAGCCAGTCATGCCCAATTACCGTTCAAAATTTATTTGCACTCAGTGCGTATGGGGATTTTTCGGCCAGCGCCAACGTCTAATTTGAACCAAATATAACTATTTTCAAACCGGTCGTTTATTAGAACTATTATATTGTATTTACATTATATCACTTTCATTCATTTCATATATTTTTAAAGTCCTCAATTTTCATTTATGTTGCATATAAGACATTGTAAATATATTATAAGGGTATGCAATCGCATCAATAAACGATCTTTAGTTAGCTTTAATTTTAATAAAAGGTTATTCAAGTTATTAATATGATTAATTACATATTTATAAAGGGCTAATTCCTTAAACAATTATATCACATGTCACGAATCTACCAAATATATATTGCATAACTCATTAAAGAATATACGTCCATATGCAAGTATTTTTATTTATTCAGTTAATACAAATATTTATTGCAAATTTATATAATGTATGTTGTATTTGGAACTAGAATCCATCTGTATTTAGAATTTCTATTTTTAAATTAATTATTGAGGGTGATATTTAAATTTGAAGCCAGCATATGTATATTGATAATTTCAGACAATTTTGCCATTGGCATTTGACTATTTCTTAATTTTTATTAAGAATTTATATAAAATTTAAATTAAGTCTAGTTCTGAAATAAATAGCAAAAGCTTTTGGAATTCACATACTGTAATTTCTGAGCAAATAAAATTTAGAAATCACCTCCCCAGTCAATGGTTTAAAAATGAGTTCCAAATCCCTGTAGATTTTATATCATAATATAACAGACATTTATTATATAATGGACTATAAAATTGGATTCTCATGAGGTTCTTTTTACTTATTGATATTTTCTGAGTTGTTTTTATTCTTTATTAATTCTTAGACATTATTTTAAAACATATTTATACCTATAAAAGCTAATACTGACAATTTGCCACACCACATAAAGATCACATTGCCTGCCCTTTCTCCTACAATGGATAAAGGAACTTTAGCTAAATGGGAAAAGAAGGAAGGGGATCCAGTCTCGGAGGGTGATTTATTAGCAGAAATTGAAACTGATAAGGCAACTGTTGGGTTGGAAGCTAGTGAAGAGGGTTTTGTGGCAAAAATTTTGATACCTAATGGCACCAAAGATATTCCTCTGGGAAAAGTTTTCATATTAATATTCATTAATGAAATAAGGGACTCTCTTTCTTAGTCCAAGGTTTATTACATGAAAAACTGGTTAAATATAAATATAGAAAGTATATCAAACTCACAGAGGTAGTGAACAATATTATTTTTGTTTACTCTATTAAATATTCTTTAAAACTAAAATCACTCATTTTGATTAAAAAATATAACAGTTGTTGTGCATTGTTGTCCCAGAGAAGGGAGATATAGCAGCATTTAAAAATTTCAAACTCAGTGAGGATGATGATATTCCTGAACCCATTAATGTTAAGTTATCACAGGATGAAATCTATATGAGAGGCAAGCAAGAAGAACATAAACCTGAATCATCAAAGCCACCACAATCAATACCCATTCAACAAGGTTTTGATATTTATAATGTTATATTTTAAGATAAAAAAGTAAGAGGATTGAAACAACATTCTAATTTAATAATTGGGTATCAATGGCTTTGGTGAATTTTTCTTAAATATGGCAATAAATAAAAACGTTAACGCTGCAGAAATCTGCAAAGCCAGACCTGTTAGGATTTTTTACACAATTTGGTTGCTATATCCCATTATTTAAATGTTTGTTTGGCCCATCCAGACCCGATAAATTTTTTACTGATTTCTTGCCCTGGATGATTAATCATTAAAATTTTATTTAATATTCATATATACTAATGTTTCCCAGTGTCAAATAAGGTTTCTATGTCTATACTCTATGGCTATCTATTTCTATAACAATCGTTTTTTGAACCAATTTTATTTTGATATCTGTATTTGTAATTGAATCGTTATCATTAATAATTATTTGTTTTATTTTTTGCGAATTTACTTATAGATATAGTATTTTAGTTAGACAACTCTTTATATATGAAGAAATAGATGTACCCTAATTTATTAAATAGTAAAAATATTTCAAGATTTTAATACCAAATAAGTAGTACTGTAAATCGATTTACCTTTTTTGAGGAAAAGGAACGCTATTCGCTACTTGTTTCAAAGGGTAACGAGTAACGCGTTTTTTTGTCTAATAGTAACGCAAAAAGTTACTTGTTACTTGAAATTTTTTCTTTAAAAATATGGAAAAAATATTTTATTTTATTATATGTTATGTTTTTTAAATATAAATAATTTAAGCTGAGTTTTTAATTTAGATCAACCACCAAAGTTTCTTTTCATTTTATTTATTACATTCTTGTTTTTGAATTTTATACAGTCTTGTTATAATTAATATTGAATCAATCAAGATATCGGTCTAGAATTGGAGTGCTACATTTTTAAGATTTTTGATTTAGACGAAGATATTAATTGATTAATTCGCACTAAATATATAAATAAAAATTAGATTAGAATATATAAATTTTTGTCTGCTTTAGAGTACTATCAATTTTAGGCTATTTTCGTAATTTTTGCTATATATGCACTATCTTTGATATTATCATATTTGTAATCACCCATTGTGCAACTTTTTTAAATTTTATAAAAAATATTACTATAAAATATGTATGGGAAAAATTATTAGTATATTGGTATAATTTTTTTATTCAGTTAAATTATTATTTTTATGAACAAATTCGAATTAATAAAGATTTTGTGTCTATATTATATAATTTAATGATTTATAGTAGTTACCTCTGTTTATTTTGCTTTTGCTTAATAAATAAAATTCAAATGGAGCATTTTGAATAAAAAATAATTCATAAAGTGTTTTGTTCTATACTTGTATATTGATTTTATCAAATAAAATTCTCACAAAATAATTATAAATTTATGAGTAAATTTTTTTTAGTCTATCATTTAGAAATGTATTATATAAATTACTCTCAGTTTTTTAGTTTTAACAATTTTGCAATTAAAGCACTCCAATTCTAGACCTATATTAATTTATGTTCTCCAATATTATAATTTATTTTATAAAGAATATATGTCAATTATACTTTTATTCAGATGAAGATGATTTAACTCCACCCTGGCCCCAGTATGAAACATTTTTTGTTCAAATAAAGAAAATTAAGGGCACTAAGTCAACACTTTGTATGTGGATTGTACCCTAATTAAAATATTTCAATGTCTATTAAAAATATGAATTCAGAATAAATTCTGATAAAGATAAAAAATTGATGAGGATGTGAAATTTTTAATAGAATCTTGAAATCCACAAATGTTGCTTCTTCGCTGGAACCATTGACCTCAGCCCTGACAATCCAGACCTGATGAGATGATGCCAGTCCCTTATAACCAAGGTATACTCTCGCTTGGGATTATACTTGTATAGTTTGCCAGATCGACAAAGAATATCAATAGAAATTTGTCGAATGGGTCATTAAGCCCCACTGACCTAACCTAAATATATATATTTTTTAAAGTTTTCTTTCGTTTTTAATCATATATATTTTTTATTCTTTTATATAGATATAGTAATGTTAATATTTATAATCAAAAATTTATTTTATTGTAATCTTTTTTAATATTGAATTTGGAAACAAAAAAGTGTAATATTTTTTGAAAATAAAGATCATTCTTTAAATATTTTTTGATCTTCAAATTAGAATTTTTATTTATTAAATTATATAAAACCATCCCATCCCATCTTCTGCGCCGGTTGAACAGTGCTTAGCGCAGCTAAAGCTGAGCTTAAGTGCTCTTGTTTATCTGATCAAAATTTTGAAAATTAATTGTTAAAAATAAATAAAAAATTATTATAAAAAGAACTTATCTTAAAATATTTTATTTTTGTTATTTATGGGGATAAAATAAATGAAAAGAAACTTTATATATAATATTTGGTATATTTTTTAATGGTTAATTTTTTTGAATAGCGAGTAACGCACTTTTATACAAAGTAACGGTAACGCATTTTTTTTGGAAGTAACGTTTACAGCTCTACTAAAAAGAGATTTCCGAGGCATGGCCCGATTTTTTATATATGGATTGTCCGATCAGCCTCATTAATATTTTTACCCAGCGCTTTTTTTAAAAACAGCGGGTCGGGATTTAGGACGGACCGGGTTTACTTATCTTTAAGGAGCAGTAACAAAATATATTTAAGTTATTAACTTAGGGATTGCTCGTGGACTGAATCCGCCAATTGCAAATTTTTAGCTTATATGATATGAAACCTAGCCACGCTATGGGTGGATTGAGATCTTAATATTAAGATGTCATTTCAGGATTTTCGCGGATGAAAAAAAATAAAACTAGAGAATATTTGAATTTTTTTTGCATATCTATCCATAAAATGAAAAAACTCTTCTAAAACGTTTATAGAGGAAGAAAAGGACGAGAAAATAGAATTTCAGCAGCCGCCTGCTCAATACGGCCAGTCGTCAGGACTGGACTCAAAAAAATCGTCCTTGAAATCCCCCGCTACCCCATTCGCGAAAACATTAGCCGCTCAAAAGGGTGTTGCACTCAGCGTAAATTTTTTTTAAATAGAAAAGAAACCGTATAATTTTGTTATAATCAGGGATCCAAACCGAAACGAATATCGGTTCAGGTTCGGATAAAAATAACGGTTCAGGTTCGGTTCGCAAAAAATAAAAATATCGGTTCGGTTCGAACCTCTAAAAACCGGTTTGAACACATTTGTATTCAAACCTACATTAGGATTATGTATCAGGAAAATTTTTTTTTTATTTCATAATTAAAATAAAAACCTTCATTTTTATTAATTGCACAAATATAACAAATAAATATATCAATGATTAATTTAAATATGAACAATTACTTAAATTTTTTTTACTAAGCTGCACAGTTAATATATTTCCAAAATTCTCTCACTCAAATTACATCTATAAGGAGATAATATAAATTTAATTGTTGATAAACATCCTTCCACACTAACTTGGGTAGCTGGCATTGCCAGTATGATATCAGATTTGATGTGTCATTTATAATACTATATGTAAATAATTTATATATTAGATTAAATTTTTTTCTAGGCATTATAATTTATAAGCTTAAAATATTTAAAAAATATTGCAAAATGGCAATATACTAAAGCTTATAAAAATTATGACTGACGTTTATCAATCGTATGTGATTGATAATAATTTTTAAATCAATTTGAATATAATTAAAATTTTTGCAATATACTACTAGTAATAACTTACACATTATTTTATAAGCATAAAATTATGAGACTCGAACCGGTTCAGAGGCATTTTAGCGGTTCGGTTCAGGTTCGGCTAGGAATTTTTTAGAGGTTTAGGTTCGGTTTAGGTTCGATAAAAAATACAGGTTTTAGCGGTTTAACGGTTCGGTTCAGGTTCGGTGATCCCTGGTTATAATATAATAATTTACAATAAAGATCTGCAAAGTTGGCCTAATATTTTTTAAAAAATTCGGGCCAAGTCGGGTCTGACCTTGGAAATTTTTTTAAATATGTCAATTTTATATTGAATTTTTTATGTAAAATATAAATATTTGATTTTATTTATTGAAACTAAACGACATATAACATATGTCTTTTATTTTGAGTAATTATATAAATTAATTTTATATTTAGATAAATTGGGGGGTCGGGTCGGTAAATTTTTTAAAAAAATTTCGGGCCGGGCTTGAAAAATTAGGCCCAATGCAGATCACTAATTTTCAACACTTTTCTTCATTTTTACATTGAGATGGAATGGGAATTAAATATAAATTAATAAAGCGAAAAAAATTTATCAATTAGAACTAGTGTTGTTAAACGGCTCGTTTTGAGTCGATTTTTAACAACGGCTAACTCAATACTTTATTTAGAAAAATATTACTCACGCCTGAAGATTTTGCTTATAGAAGGAACAAAGGTCCATACATATATTATCGAAATCTCAAGGCTTAGGCTATATTTTTCTGGCTAACATATTGAGTTAGTCATTTTTAAAAATCGGCTCAAAACGAGCCGTTTAACAACACTAATTAGAACTATTAAAATAGCATCATTAATATTTTGGACTTTAGGGTATAGAGGGAACTGGACAAGAAGGAACTATAACAAGTCAAGACATACTTAAGCAGAGCCCTCTTCCGTCTCATTTACAATCAATGAAGTCTTCTCCCGGTTCGCTCAAAACTCAGAGTCATCAATCTTACGTGGACATTGATCTCAGCAATATGCGACAAGTATTATAATTAATGTTTTTTTAAATATTATTTTAATTTATGTTGATTATTAAATTATTAAAAGAAAGAGAGTAATGAATCATTTGAATTTTTTAAAATAAATTTATAGGTATTTATTTGAATAAAAAATATTTAAATATGCGCAAGGCCCCAAGGCTGGACGAGTCTGACCACAGTGTATTTTTGAAAAAAAATGTAGCCATCGTTCTTCAAAATTTTTAAAAATATCTATAGCTTAGCTACAGACTACATTTTATGAAATTTTATATTAAGTCTATAAAGTTGTCGAATTAAATAGAATTTCAAATTAAATTAAATTACCAATTTTAAATTCTTTATTTCAAATTAAAATAAAATATTATTAACAGAGACCAGCAGGCCCGGCCCTATACCCGGGCAGGGCCGGGCCGTATTTTAAATTTTTTAAATATACCCGGGCCGGGCCTGGCCTAAAAAAAATTTTTTTAAACATATCCGGGCCGGGCCGAAAAAATTTTTTTTTAAATATATCCGGGCCGGGCTTAAGATTGTTAAACCCGGGCCGGGCCTTAATATTTTTTATAAAAATTTTTACATTATGAGTTAATGGTTATAAGATTATATTATATTATAGTTATGATTAATATAATATTGGGTGATGGTTAACACTACCTAACAACCCACAGATCGATCTAATTATTAATCTCCTGCAAATTTATTCAAAGTATTAATATATTTTTTTATAATTCATATCTAAATTTTTACAACATATTTTACCAAAACAATCAAATAAAGGAATATCTTAAATAAGCCCCAATATTCAAGTATTATTAATATATTTTTTTATAATTCATATCTAAATTTTTAGAATATATTTTACCAAAACAATCAAATAAAGGATTATCACTTCTTAAAGTTTGTAATTGATTTTACTTAATATAAAGCATTTTTTAATTGAAAAATTTGTTTTACACAAGTATCATTTTATTTCTCTTTTTCTCTGTCCCAAATTCAAGCAATTACGTATGTAGTCAGGGACAGATCGCAAAATGAGGGAAAACTATATAAAAGATTTTATTAAATTACAAGAGGCTCAGGAAGTAAATGAAATACCATCGACCAGTCAAATTACGACTGTTGTTAAACAAACTGAATCGTTTTATGACAAATGGGGCGATGGTAATTCTGGTAATATGTCAATACCCGATGATGAATATTATAATTACATAACTAATAGATAAAACATTTAAGGTGGATAATTTGTTAGAGTGGTGGGCGGTTCATCAAAGCGAATTTCCAATTTTAGCAAAATTGGCAATTCCTGCTTTAAATGCAAGCTGTGAGCGAAATTTTTCCACTACTGGTAGAATTCTTGAAGAAAGAAGAAGTAATCTTCAACCTGAAAAGGTAGATATGCTTCTCTTTCTTCATGATAATTTGTGAATTTTTAATATCTTTCTTGAGTATAGGGTTTCGTCAATCATGCTTTTGCAAACTGTCAAATATTTATTGCATTTATTATATTTAACTTGAGTCATGGAAGTTTTTAATCCAACATTTTTCATTATTTTTTTTTACAATATTATATAATACAATTATCTTCTTTTGTTAAAAATTTATATTATAAAATAAATTATATTAATATTGTGCAATTAGATTATATTTTCAAAATACTATTTATTATACATGCATTTTTTTAAATAGCGATTTATTTTTATTTTATAAATTAAATAGTAAATTAAATACAATATATTATATTCTCAAAATATTTTCCATTTTTATAAATTAAATATTAGTTTTATTTTTTTTAAATGTAATATAAAATATAGTATATGACAAATATTATTACCATTTAATATTAGTTTTATTTTTATAAATGCAATATAAAATATAGTATATACTCAAAATATCCATTTTTATAAATAACAGTTTTATAATTTTTATAAATTCAATATAATATTCTCAAAATATTAGCTTTTTACATGTATTTTTTAAATAATAAGCGATAATACTCGCTGAAAAATATGGTAAAATACCTCATAGGTGAATTTTTGTATATACCAGGTCGAATATAATTTTAAAAAATTCCGAGCCGGGCCTGAAATTTTTAAATCCGGGCCGGGCCGTAAAAAATATTTTTAAAAAATATCCGGGCCGGGCCTTAAATTTTTAAATCCGGGCCGGGCCTAAAAAAATTTAAAACCGGGCCGGGCCTTGCAAATGGTACCTCTGCAGGTCTTGATTATTAACACGTAAAAATTACAAAAATAAACATCGTTTAGCATATATATTATTTCTCTATATTCATGATTTAGATTTTATAATTTGATAATTATATCTATAATTTAACATTAATGGCCTTATTTTTCAAATTTTATATAATAATAAAATTATATTATTTTCATCTTGAAACTAAGTAATAAAAAACCATTCATTTCGGACCACATTATTTACATAAAATAATAACCAATTACAAATTATTTACATAAAATAAAAACCAATTTGCATTCATCGAGCTTAATTAAATAAATAAATCCCTTAATTTGCATCTTCACAACACCCCTTCTCTTAGACACCTGCACCTAGCGAACTGTATTCAAATTCATCCATGCTTGAATCATCAATCTTTGCACCTCATTTTGAACGATCATTAATGTTTCGTTATTTATGGCCGATATCTGGTCAGAACACAACCGCATTAGGTGATCCCCCACATGCCCAGAATTGTTTTCATCGTGGTGGGAAATAAGATGTCCCTCTGGCACTCCTGTCACTCTTCCTATAGGTTCACTAGTACTGTTGCTCACATCGTTTATTAGCTAACCGTATAACCTTGTAGCTTTTTCTCGGGCTAAATTTAACCAATCTCTAGATACTATCGAACGAACCATCTATTGCTTTTATTTCTATTCGTACAATGTAGTTGCCCACTCGTTTATAGGATGCCATATAAATATATGATTAATATTTGTATATACTGCTATTTTTTCTAAAGAAATAATAATATGGAGAAGTAAAATGGTGGTTGTCAATGTTAGCTCATAACACATAGACATCCAAAGGAAGAGCTCCAGCTTAAATATTTTTAGGAAGAAAAACGAGAACTTAATTGGATTTTTTAATGCAAAAAGTATAACCGAAAGAACAAATAAATATTGACAAATTTTTAATAGGAAATTTGATTTGGCTATTGTTATGTGATTGTTTAATTAAATGGGGAAAGGGTATAGTAAAGATAAATATAGGAAAAAAGAAGGTAGGGATTGAGATTAATTATATTACTAGACAATGATATTTAGACATGCATATTATATAATTTTGACAAAAAGCTTGCAAATATTTTTTTTTAATGTAAACTTGGGTGGAATAATATTAAAATAATTTTACCAGTATCTAGTGTATTCAAATCCTTGAACCTCTTAATATATTTTTTCTCTTAGGCTAATGATAAGGTTCTATGCTTTTATTATTTAGAGAATGAGGGCATCTTATTTTTCTTGGTTTAAAGGCCTACCAGCAGTGTTGAAGGTTGATTCGATAAAAAAAATTTTTTTACCAGAGTTATCAACAAATGTATAAAGATTATATAAACATGTATTTACTCCTATGTTTAACTTAAATTATATGTACTAATAAGGATCCCATGTATATTCTGCGGTAAGCATAACATGTATTGTATACCATTCTTCATTTTCATTCATAGTTTAATTTTCAATTCCTACTTCATTAATTTGCCTACTATCGCTAATTTTGTCTATAATTATTATCAATATCAATTTCATCCATTTCAAATTAGTTTTTTATTAAATCCAAAAAAATAATTTAAATAAATAGTTTCTTACATATATTATGATTTGAGATAGTAATCAATAAAAATAAACAAAGCAAAATTTACAATTATATAATAAATAATGTAAACTGAGCCAACTACATACTTGATAAAATATGTAACTAAATTTACTAGTTTTTATAGGGGGATAATTTTTTCCAGGTGATTGATTTAACAACTGCTACCCTTTTATAAAAATTTAGTTTTGTTGTACAGCTATAGTTACTGAAAAAAATAATAACCGTAACCTTATATTTGTGGCTAGCTACTGCTCCAACCTTGCAAGGCCATTTATTTATCAGAGTATTTATCACTTTATTTTAAAAAATTTAATTAAAAAATAGACTATAGCTAGAAGATTACTTTATTCTAAACAATCTATCCCACATTACTACTTGACTATGGAAATAAATATGGCACGAATTGATAAGTTTTATCATTTAAATATATTATAATTATACTTCTTCTTTTTTAAAAAAAAATTATTTAAATTTAAAAATATATAATGGCTAATGTAAATGAAAGTTGATCCCCCTAAGGAAAATTTTTGACCCTAAATCAATTTCGACTAAAAATGGAGTAAAGCAACTAAAAATTAATATTTATAAAGTACTCTATTGACGAACCATATTTTTATTTTTAACAACAACATTTTCATGGTTTAATAATTTGTTGTTTATAAGTTATTTTATTTTAGAGGATTCTTTTATTATACGCATTAAACTTCTTTAAATTATAAAGGGGAGGGTATTAAAAAGATTATCCTTTCTAACCCAATATTTGTTATTTTTAGACTTGAATCCAAAGCACTGAAGCAAAAAAACGATAAAGTTTAAGAGTAAAAAAAATATAAACCATGTATACTTTTTATAATAAAGAGTTCGCAAACAATTCAACGAAATATTGGAAGATGATGATGTTAAATTGTCCATCAACGATTTCATTATTAAAGCGTCAGCCCTGACCTGCTTTTATCATAAGGAATGCAATTCTTCATGGATGGAAACGCAGATTAGACAGTTTTTATTAACTTTTATTTATTTATATCAAAAATATATATTATTTAATATAATAGTTATTATCTTTCTTGCAATTTATATATATACTTATTTTCATAATATCATGAAATGAATGTTGGTTTGATCTAAATGTCATAGTGATTTCATTCCAGATACAGATGAAAGATCTGAATTATTACTTATCGTCACTACTCTACGGCATCAGGAGCGGGTGATGTGCTCTCTAGCTAGGCTCCACTGAAAGAAGAAACCAACACTCAGCTGACGATATTATGATAATTGAAATTATTTTGTTTAACAATCAATTCCTAAGTTTTAAAATAATTAATAGGTATTCCATTATTCAAATAAAAATTCCCATTTTTAAACTGTTAATAATTTAATTTATCTATATATTTTTTTCTAAATTAACCAAATTTTTACGCTTTGTTAAAAAGAATAAATATGAATATCCACCCCCCTCCCACCTACTGTTTAAACGATCCCCACCATTTTTTAAAAATTCCTGATCCACTGAGAAGCTTGATTAGGGAGATCGGTAAGGTGTACAAAAGTAAAAAAATAAGTTCTTAATTTAAAAATTGTTTCGTAATCAATTTAAATTTACTCTTTATGTTATTGCAATTTTAAATCTTATCTAGATACTATAATGTTGACGTTAGCGTGGCTGTTAGTACCTCTGCAGGCCTAATAACTCCTATTATTTTTAACGCCGAATCTAAAGTAATTTTATAAATATTTCATTTTCATTTTTTAAAAATTAAAATTTAAAAAAAGGGATTAAAAACTATAAATCTCGAAATGAAAGATTTAGCCGCTCGCGCCAGACAAGGGAAACTCAAACCTCAAGAATTTCAAGTAACAATTTATTATTACAAATTAGTGAAGGTCAATGGCCTGGTTTGAACTAACCATGGCGGCTTAGTCTTTAATATCGGTTTCGCCATTTGCTATCTTTGCAATCGGTTCAGTTTGGACTGATCAAAAAAATTATATACTATTTTTTTTTAATTTTCAAATTATAAACTATCAAGAAATTTAAAAAATTATTCAAATTTTATTCATACACAAAACTAGTTCCTAAGTTTTTATATATTGTTATGTAATTTTAATAAATACTATTTGCCATTAATCATGTTATGATAAAATATTTAAATGTTAAGGAAAATCCAAATGATTAATCCATTTTATAATCACCTGGTAAAAAAAACAAATTTTATTAACAGGTATATTAGATTAAATTAGTAGCATAATTATGGATATAGTATGTATATATATATATATTATACTTTTCAATGAAATATAACTAAAATTAATCCTACTCATTCCTTGCTTGTAAATTTATGAGTATACATTTATATTTATATAAAATGTATAATTCTTATAATTGAATATATGATATGATGTTCTCTCTATCTTGTTGTTTTTCATTTATGCATATTGATAGGTTCCCTTCTCTATCTTTACTAGCTAGATATTATCTGGCAATTTAAGCAATTTCGGATCCTCGTAAACTATTATTTTTTAAAGCGGGTTACTTAGTAACTAAGAAGAAAAATTATATCAAGCAAAATAATAAAACTATCACTAATCCTAAAAGTGGAATAAAATTGCTTATCAAATCTTATCGAGGATGATATTATTATTTTATGCTAAAAAATAATATTGTTTACCTACTGTTGTATGTTATTTATCATATTTTATTATTCCTTTGCAAATAGATTAAAAAAAATTCCAATTTTATATGATATTTTGTTTTATGCACATATTTAGAACAAATAAAATTGGTCCGGATTACCTTCCGGTTCGATTTTTATATGTGGTCCGCGGTTCGGTTATCTTAATCGGTTCCCCGTGATGTTGTTATTTACCGAACATCATTTGCATAATATAATATAAAACATCTTTATATGACTAATATAATATAAAACATTTTCATATGACTATAATATAATTTAGTCAAGATTAAAAAAAATTGGCCATTGATATTTATATTTTTATAAGAGTGTGTCATAAAATTCGATTCGCACTTTTAAAATTTTATCGAAAAGAAGAAATTAGATTTTTTAATATAGAAATACAAAAATAGGTCCCGTAGTTAAAATAAAATAAAAATCTCCTTCTCGTATAAGAAAATTGATACAACATTGCAGACCGATGTTGTTTAACTTAAATGCATATTGATACATTTTAATTTTACCAAGTAAGAATTATGCATAAAACCATTCATTAATACCATAGAGTTGTTTTAATATGATAATTTGTATTTAAAACAATGCAAAGGGCGGTACTTTTACCATCTCTAATTTAGGAATGTTTGGAATCGATGAGTTTACTGCCATCATAAATCCGCCCCAGGCTTGCATTTTATCTATCGGAACTAGTAATAAAAAATTGATCGAGGATTCTAAACAAGATAATGGGTAAAATAAAAACATAAATCATGAGTATAGCCGATTGAAATAATACATGAATCAATATTTTAATATTTTGAGCCTTGCAGACACATAAGAAATTTAATTTAAAATTCCATTTACAATAAATCATAAAAATAATCCTCTGGTTTACCATGGTTGGCACAATTAAAAACGTTAATAAAGAAAATTACTGTTTTTAGTTAGAAATCTAATTGTCAAAAAATTAAATTTATATACCTTTTAAATTTTTCTTTCTATAAAGGTTTAGGTCAGTACCCGTTATGAAAGTTACTTTAGGCTGCGATCATAGATTGGTTGATGGAGCTGTCGGGGCGAAATGGTTGCAATATTTCAAAAAAATCATGGAAGATCCTGTCAATATGTTATTGTAAACCATAACATATAAAATTATCAATTTTAAAGCATTTAATATTTAAATAAAAACTAATCAATTATTTAAAAATAAAACGGTTTTACTATTTTCATGTTTTTTTGTGAAATTTGCATATTATTATTTATATCCTTTATTTTCTTTTTTTCGACGTTAGTGAAATTTATATAATTATATAAAATTTCTAAATATTTAATTTACAAAATTCCAATATAATTTTTTTCCCAAAACTGATTTATATGTTTATCATATCTTATAAAAAGATAATAAATTTAAATACTCCTAATTTAAGATATGAATAGTTAAATAACATTAATAATGGGCTATTGTAATTTTGCGGATTTAACTACATTTCAGTTTAAAGCGATGTGTCTTAATCTTACCTTTTTTATCCCGTCTTTTTTCAATCTTTACTTAAGATTTAATGGTCCTTCGCTACAACTTATAAAATTATTATTTAAATAGTTGTATTTTCAGCATACGGAAAATATTTAAATTAAATTCTGAAGAAAAAAATATATATTCTATAAGTAGTACTAAAGCTTAATAATTATATAAACTAAATAGAGTTAATCTTTTGTAAATATCAATACAGACTTGTAATCAGGTTTAAAAATTATATATAAAAATATTAAATCGTGTTTTATTTATACTTTTTTTTCGTTATAAATGTAACTAATTTTTTATTTAATTTTGATAATAATATTTATTTCATAGTGAAAAAAAATATCAAACTGGAATTGGTCTTTAATTAATTATTTTTTTTAATATCCTTATAATAAATACATTTATTTTTATGGTTATTTGTAATCAGGATTTATAATCAGGCGCTTACGCAGGAATTTGGTCTGGGGGGGGGGGGGGGGGGGGGGGGGGGGTAATAAATTTTTTTAAGAAATATTATTGTTTTTTAAAAATATCAAGCATAAATTTATTAGGACTAATAACTATTCCTGATACACAATTTTAAATTAATGTGAATTATAAAAAAATTATATGTAAAGAATCACTTAAATGACCCAAAATAGAAATTTGAATTTTTTGAGCCTTTACACAAAAAGTTTCTTAGGAATAATTGTATTTTGTATGTTATATATTAATGTAAAATCCAATCTTCATTGGGATTGAGCTAATTTTTCAATTATCTCATCCTTGCTTGTCGTCAAATGCCTATGAATATTCAAAAGATCCAAAACTTACAATCTACTTTCACATGTTGTACTTCTTGGTATGTTTTTCAGAGACCTGCAGGCCCGGCCCCTAGGCCGTACAGTATTTTAATTTTTTTAAATATACCCGGGCCGGAAATTTTTTTAAAAAAACACCCAGGTCGGGCTGTATTTATTAAAACAGCCTATATTTGAAATCGTTATTATTAGCTATAAAAATCAAAAATAAATATAATTTATTTTTAAAAAATCTTGGCCGGGCCTGAAAATTTTATTTTAAAAAAAGCCGGGCCGAGCCTGAAAATTTTAAAAAAAAAGCCTAGCCGGGCCTGAAATTTTTTTAAAAAGCCGAGCCGGGCCTGAAAATTTTTTAAAAAAACCCAGTCCGGGCCGTTAAAAATCTTTAAAAAAAATCCGGGCCGTGTCCTGCAAATGATACTTCTGCAGGCCTCTGTTATTCTTCTTAAAAAAGAGAGTGTTCTCATAGTGGGAAGAGTTTATAAACCCTTTTAATACATTGGTAATCTAAAATGTGTTTGAAATAATGCAGAGCATACATAGCATTTTTTGGGATTATATCAACTATAGTTAATCTTATAAACATAGTTATTCAGCTAGTAAGGCATCATAAGATACTTTAACATCTTCATAATAAAAATCTAACAAATATTTTTTTTTCTATCACCATCTGAAAAAGGTTGGGAAGGCTTTTGTGGAAGTAATATTTGCAGATGTAAGTGCTGCATGATGAATTAAAAATTCATTTATTTGGGTTATAAATGTATCTGCATCTAAGATATACTCTTCTACTGATCCTATATTTGTTTTAACGATGAGCTTGCCTTGCTACAAGTCGAGGTAGACAAATATTGAACACGTATATATGCTTTTGACTCAACAATAAAATATGAAATTCTTCAACAACATTAGCCCTAATTTCCTTGAGTTCTGATAAAATTCCCCACTATTCTCATCTTCTTAATCAAATCAATATCATGTTTTTGAAAAGTAATACTTAAAATAGTTGTATAATTAAATAATACATTCTAATGAGAAGTAAAATTTGGAATAAGCATTGAATCCAATAATTTTCTTGCTTCTGAGGAAATATTTCTTTCAGGCCATTGTGATATTTCAGTAATAGCAAATAATTGGCTCTTCTAACTCCTTAATAGCTGTTAGTGCTTGATGGAAGAGGCTCTATCTCGTTGGACAAGGTTGCAATTTCTTTTTCCCTGTTGGATCAGAAGTTTCAGAAATAATTATTATTTGAATAGAAATTTGAAAATGGTAGATAAATATTACGCCACTAAAAATTTAAAAATAATAAGTAAATATTACGCCGGAAAACTTGAAATCGAAATTAATTGATAAAATAACGTATGAATGTGATAATAAATGTAATAAAATATATATTTAATATGAGATACGAATAAATATTAATAAATATAAATTAATATAAACAATAATATTTTTGAAAAATATATCCGGCATCTGCATTTTTTGGCTTTGGGGTGCCCCCCCCACCCCGCTGCGTACGCCAATGTTTGTAATATTACACTTGATTAATTAAAATAAATTAAATTTTTCTGAAAAAAATATCTAATATTTAATGTATTTTTGTGCAACATTTAAGGCCGATGCTTAAATTGTAATGTTTTGACTTTCTGTAGTGGTAGAGATTTTCACACGATGCAATTCTTATAGTTATTTTTTGGGGAATAAATTTTAAGATAGATAGCGATACCTGAAAGAGAATGAGAGATTATTATATTTGTATTATAGGAAATATAATTGGGCCAGTAGTAGCTGATCGATTTTAACTTTTTTTAAATATTGGGGATGGTTGCTAGCCATTCTTTTCCCTCGAAACCAATTGCCATAAATAGTCAAAAACTGTAATTAGTTACAATTACTTACAAAATTTTTATAACAAATTATTTAATAATTCCTTTTTTAAAACGGTTTTTAGAATAATTATTTAAGTAATATTGTTTACGTTATATTTTAATGGTCTTTTTTATAATATTATATCTTTAATGCATGTTTGTATATTGTCGCAGAACAGTAAATAAAATATTTAAATTATCGATAATTGTAAAAGTTAATTTATTTTCTTGTTGATATGGTAAATTGACATATTAATTTTTGTCTTGTTGAACAATTAAACATAAAATTTTAATCGCCAAATACAGCGTTGATTCATCTAATTACATATTCGTACCAATCATTTGCTCCACTTTAACAACATATGGTGATTTGGCTAAGAAGTTTTTTAAACAAGTTGGCCACCTAATCAGGAGAAATTTTGGGGAGCCCCGCGAAGGCTTTTATTTAAGGCAGAGGACCGCAATAGTCATTTGAAGTGTTTTATTAAATAAGTAAAATAGGTAAAGTAAGTAAAAGTATATTTAATACAAAATATCACGTATATATATATAATGGATTCAATTCTTCAGGTTATGTAATTTACAAACGAAAAGTTAATATTATATTCAATTTACAATTACATTTATATTACAGTTCTCCCCACTATAAATTGAATTCATCGTGATAACGTAGTTAGGGTTTCGAAACTCTTTTTTCAAGAGTTGTATTCTCATGTTCTGCCTTTTCCACTTCTACGGTCAACGTAAAAGGTATTTCCTTCTCTTGTGTATGTGCATCCCTCAATTGATCTGCATGCTTGTTTTTAATGATCCCCTCTGATTCCACATCATACAATATTGCGCTTTTTCGTTGTAACACTTTTCCTTCATGCCACCCTGCTGTCCTTTCGTTTGCTATACAAACTTTTTGCTGCTCTTCAAACTCCCGAGGTTCAACACTTCTATCTTTGTAGTACTTTTGTTTCCATAGAGCGTTTTCCGTCCTTTCTCTCGTTGATAATTTCCACTGATCTAATGTCGTCCTAAGCGACCTTCCAAACATCATCTTGGCAGGGGATTTACCAGTAGTTGCATTGGGAGTATTACGGTGAGTAATTAAAACATTCGCTAAATTTAACTGGTCCGGAGTCCCACATCTCCTTCCTGCATAGAAACGCGTCTTTATCGTCCATATATATCGTTCAGCCAAACCATTCGATTTGGGGCTATAAGGGCCGATCTAAAATGTTTTATATTGTTTTTAAAAAGAAACGTTTTGAATTCAGATCCAGTAAACTGAGTACCGTTATCTGAGACAATGTAACGAGGTAACCCAAATCTAGCGAAATAATTACGCAGATTATTTATTACACTCGCCGAATTAATATGTGTTAAAATTGCAACTTCAACCCATTTGGTAAAAGCGTCTACACAAATTAACCAATATTTTCCAGATACGGGGCCTGTCAAATCAATGTGTAATCGTTCCCAAGGTCGGGTAGGAATATTCCAATTGTATAATGGCACTTCTTTAGCTCTCGGCCTTCCTTCTTGACAACTCTTACAACATTTAACAAAGTCTTCTACATCAGTATCGAGATTTGTCCAAAACACGTAATATCTACACAATGATTTCATCCCCACTATCCCAGGATGTCCTCGATGAATCACATATAAAACCTCCTTTTTTAAAATATCTGGAATAATAATTCTATCATTAAAAAATAATAATCCTTCTTCGAACGAAATATTATATTTAATCGAAATATATTTTTTTACAATCTCCGAATAATTATTTATATTATCAATATACCAATGATTTTTTATTAATTTAATCTCTTTTAGGTTTATATCATTGCTCGTTTCACTTACGACTTTACTGCGAGTGAAAGATAAATCTTCTATTAGATTAATTTTTAATCCTCTGATTTCTCCTTCAAATATTTTTGTAACATCATTGGTTTTTGCTTTCTCTACCCCCAAACGGGACAGAGCATCGGCACATTTGTTATGATTACCTGGTCTATATATTATCTCATAATCATAATTTAATAGTTTCGTCGCCCACCGTATTAAACGTTATTTGTTATTTTGTTAAGATCTCTTTTATCACCTAAAATATATTGTAATGGTTTATGATCAGTAACCAAGATAAAATGTCTTCCAAAAATATATTGATGAAACTTCT